AATTTTGAAAATAAAATTAATTTAAAACTAATTGCCACTTTAATATATTAATTATCACAAAATGATCTCAATTAATTTTAAAATAAATTAAATTAAGGCAAGATAATTTTAAAATTGACAAATCAATTTAATATTATTTTATTTAGTCAATTATTTGGACCATTTGGTTTGATCCATCCAACTAGTTGAGCCCGAACCAACAGTCAAAATGGTGTGGCCACTGGTCCTTTTCTTAAAACATTGGGCAGCATTCTAGAGCTTAATTCTTGATCTTTGTTGAAGTGTGTGGCATTGAGATCTTGTATTGGGGGTCTAGGTTTCGACTGTAAGAGAGCTGAAAAAAGGTCGAATAATTTTTTTTTCTTTTAAATGCATTTTGAAGAAATAGGTTGATACTATGACTTCAAATTTTTAATACAAATGATAATTACTTACAACCATTATTGGCAGAGCATGAAGTGACCTTGCAAAATTTAGTTTGCTATGAGTCCATTTCCAACGTAAAGCAGTTCTTACATAGCGAACAGGATAAAATATCTCCACAAATGTTGGACTCTGCTCTTAAGCATGCAATTACTTGTGGTCGCAAGAACATGGCACATTACCTCTATAAGAAGATTCCACTTGATCATTTTCTACGGGAAGACAGTGGCTTCTTCCTCCTCCAGCACTGTATAACCAAGAGAACGTTTGGTAAAGAGTTCTACAATTCTTTTTTTTTTTTAATCACTATATATTCACTTTGTTTTAGAATAATAAATATTTTTTAATTAAAAAATTATTGGTATACATTTAATTTAATACTTTTTTTGTTTAATTATTAAAATATAATATAATTACAATTAATTCAATTAATTCTTACATCTTATATATAATTATATTTTTAAGTGTTTTTTATCTTTAAGTTTATACCCAAAAAAAATAATTTTTCTAAAAATATATTATGTAATATATTAAATCAAATATTAAATCAATCACTTTGCAGAGAATTTATACTTTTTCTTCAAACCTCATCATAAATCCTCTTGCATTCATAAATTTTTTCTTCTATAAGAAGCATGAATGTATCACGTTTATCGCAGCCATACTACGCAAACTGGACAAGGAACCATCACGCAAACTGGACAAGGAACCATCACGCAAACTGGATATGGAACTATATATACCACGCAAACCGGTTCTACCCCGCATATTACGCATAGCGGCCAAACTATTAAGCATACCGATTGGAGTACCTTTATTGTTACTTGGTAAGCAATAACTTTCACTAATTAGACTTTTTTTTTTCTTCTGCTTTTGCTATGTCTTAGTAATTATTTGTTAAATTATAGTGCTTTCTTATCACAATATCGCCAAAGCAAATATGTGATCTATGCGAGTAGGATAAGTCTTGAAATAGAAGAAAGTCATTCTATTGTATGAGTGTCCTATTTTAGAATTTGAATTATATTGAATTGTAGTATAATTGTACAGTTTAATATAACTTAAACTGTACTAACACTTTTTTTTATATATTTTATTATTTAACTTTAAAAAAAATTATTAATTTGGTCAAATAAAAGGTAGAGATGAGTTACAAATATAATAATACATAAATAATATTAATTATGATAATGTGACATTAACATTAATAAAACACAAAAGAACTTTGTTATTAGTAAATAAGCATGCATGGGCCTGTCTCGTCTGCAGCGATCGAGGGACAAAATTTAACATCTAGTTTGATTGAAAAAGATTATAGATGGATGTATAATACTCCATAATTCGAACAAAATATTAACTTTGCTCTTTTTTTTTATAAGGAAAAAAAAAACTTGCGTTTGCATATGCTTTGAGATTATACAAAAATTTATACACAAATAAATATTTCTTAATCATTTTCCAAATTATATTCTTCCTAAATTCCCTTTTTTAAAGAAATATATTCTTCCGGTAAATCTTTTTCTTTTCTTTTCTTTTTTTTAAAATATATCCTTCCTCGATCCTAAATTATAACTGGTCTATTGCAGGGTTACCAATATCGGTATCAGT